CACAATGCCAACTTTCTGCCGTCCGTTCAACAGAAGGGTTCTGGTGGCCGAAAGACTCAACATTCTCACAATCTATCAAGAGCATTAAGCTTCGTTATCAAGTTCACATACTCTTATAGGTCTCATCCAACGGTGAAGAGGAAGGGACAAGGAAAGATCTTTTTTCATGCCCGTACGCATATGTAGTCCAAGAGAAGAAGGACTCGCTAACTGATTCCAGTGGTTAACATCGTCCTTCCTGTTTGGCTCAAACTAAATCAACGCCATTTGGGTATGATATACAAGAACTTCACAACTACTGCTTGCTGCATTTTGTAGAAATGTGAATAAATGCTCGCACTAAAATTAGGATGAATGCGGAATAGGTTATTTTCATGCACTATTTCCCACACTTACTTTTTTTTGCAGTGCGCACACATACAAAAAACAAAAATGAACGTGCTTTGGCATTGGAGAAACTTCATATGCTGAAAAAGGTGGATTGCTTATACAGAGATCTAAGTAAATGAAGAGGGGGAAACTTCAAAATATTTTCTTATGACATACAGCAAAAAATGGATAGTGGATAATACATTTTCGCTCTCCAACTTGTAAAGGTATGCAATGGGTACTCCATTTTCAGACGCTCCAACTGGAGAAGTTACGAAATAGAGTAAAGTACGGAACCTACATACATCTGAGAACTATGTCTCAGCCTAATTTCGGGGCGGACTTTGTCGAGGAAAGTAATCAGAAATTAATCAAACGAGAACGTTGCCACAGTCTCAGCCAAAATCAACAGAGACAATGGCAACGATTTGGCTTTTAAAAACTGTGAATCAGCTGAAAAATCATACTTTTTCCGTATCTCACGGAAAACAGAGCATTTTTGAGATGACTCATTCGCTGTGATAACGTTATTTCATTTACCTGATCCCATAGTTGTTGCAGACATATAAATCAAGCACACGAGCTCGGCAATAAGAGCGGAATAGACAAAAAATGTTGTTTTCTGAGTAGGACAGCTGCTTTGCGAGACTAAATGCGTCTGAACAAAGTAAACTATGTGTAGAGATGCTGCTAGGAGAGAAAGAATGGTGAAATCTGACTCGATCAATTTGGTCGCTAGGATGAGTCATTGAAGGTGGAACTTGGAAGAGCATGCACCTTTCAAGGTTATAGTGGTTAATGGACGAGTCGCTATGAGTACCTTGATAGAACACGATCAAGATAAAAGTTCTAGACAATCCTCATGTTTAGGTAAGGCGTACATGATAAAAGAACTGAACTCACAGCTAGTGACCAAATCAGGAGTCAATTTGATTTGAGTGCTTCTCACGAGAGAAGGATGGTTGGTCGAAGAGGCCTTTTGAGATGGCTTATATACCATGGTGGAAGGCATAGAACGCTGATTCCAGATCTGTCTTCCTTATCTGCGGCGCGTTCTTGGACGAGGAGTTATGAGCGTTTAAAGGAGCAAAAAATGGTTTTTCTAGGATAAAAACAGTTGTTAAAATTCCTCAAGTGCTTGAATGAGACAGCCGGAGTGCGGATATATCTCACCTAAGAGTATTTATTTTTTAGGGTGCTGGAAAGGTTACCACTGTTCCATTTAAGCGCTAGGAATAATATTACTACTGTTTTATTATTTGCACATTCAATTTTTTTTCAGTAAACGTTCGCAGCTTCTCTTACAGGAAGGCGCGCAGATAAGGAGCACAGGTTTGGAATCAGCGTTTTATGCCCTCCAACATAGTATACAAATCATCGCAAAGGGCCACTTCGATTGACCATCCTTCCCTTGTCAGCTTATAAGAATACTGCATTCGAAAAGAACAGAGCTGGTAATGAGGATGGCAAATATCCGGCTGAAAATCGTTTTGGGAAGAAAAAGAGGATATCGTGATCACACGTCCATATGCACTACGTATTTCTGTAACAATTTGCTTTACCACTGACATGCAAAAACACGATCCTCGCGCGTCACTTTCAAAGTTACAAATTCTTTTGCAGTAAGTAGTGATTGTATGCCTTGTTTGCACTGCACACATAAGGATATAACTGCCGGTGTATAAACGGACAATGGATAGGAGGAGCTTAGTGAGAGTATGGCGGAAAAAGTTATGTGACTGAAGGTTGTGGCAAGGTTTTTTTTCTTGAAATTTTGCATTGGTGAAAAGTGGAGAAATGACTCGTTCGCAGGCACTGGATTGGCTCAAATTTGGTGTGTACATGTGCCATAAGGAGTCAGAATAAAGAGTGAATTCTATGAAAAACATACATGGATGAAGAATGGCTCAACTTTTTTGAATTAGGTAGGCATATGCCGACTATACTTGGGTCCGAATCGAATAGAAATCCGATCCTTCGAATAAAACATTCGAATATATTCGCATTCGAAATTTGATGTTGGGAGTTCTTCCATTTTCGAATTATATTTGAAACTCGAATATTTCAGAAAACGGGGTTTCGAATAAAACTCGAAACTTGAATAATCAAAAAGCAGGGTTTCGAATAAGATTCGAAACTCGAATATTTGAGAAAACGAGAATTCGAATAAAATTCGAAGACTCGAATAATCAAAAAACGGTGTTTCGAGTAGATTTTATCCGAATGTTTTATTCGAATGTTTATTCGAATTCGTATTCGAATGAATTCCGTATTCCGATTATTCGAGTCTGTTGCAGAGCCAACTGCTGAGTATCAAGCCCACTTCGTCCGCGTTTTTTCCCGCAAAACTCGGCAATCATCTTTTTGCAACCGTGATGAACTCTGAACTGTAACCTTTGAAACTTTTTAAAAAATTTTGAGCTACGGGACTGGGAGTTGGTACAAGGGGGTAAGTGAAGGAGGGTGCTGATTATGGACAAAAATTTACTTTATCGATTTTGTTGATTTTTGGGAAATTTTGAGCTAGGAGTTAGTATAGGGGATACGAGCGTGCTGATTATGAATGGATCGGCTTTAATTAGATAGGTCGGCAAGTTTGAGATATGGTTGCTGCAGTTATTCGCTAAATCATTCAAATGTTTATTCGAAATTCGACTTCTAATGTTCGAATATATTCGATATTCATTCATTCGATACTTTTGATTTTCCGAATTTATACGGAATTCATTCATTCGAGAATTTTTGAACTTCAAATTTATTCGACATTCGTTTATTCGAAATTTTTCATTTTCGAATTTATTCGATATTCATTCATTCGATGAGAAATTTCGAATTTACCCAAGTATAATGCCCACCCAATGGCCCCTGAGGGTGGCAAAACATAATTTACATGAATTTTCCAAAATTCGTACATAAATCTGTTGTACACTCAAAGTTTACAATATATTACGTCGAAGCACAAGTCTTGCACAAAAATTGGAAAATCCGCAAGTCCCTTCAATTTCAATGAATCCGTTTAACATAATATGAGGTAGAGAGACAAAATCATGCGGTTTCTGCTGATGCTTAAACAAAATGTTGTATTATGTAGTGGCGACAAAAACTGATAAACAGAAACTCTCAAATTTGTTTTTTTTTATTTTCGCTCCTTCAAACTGCGTTATTGATTGCAAGAAGGTCTAACAACCTTTAACTTCACTTTTGTTCAAGTTTTATAACCTACTTTTTTTTTACTGAGAGAATTGTGCTAAATAGATTTTTCTGCAAGAAATTGTGATTTTCAAATTTTTTTTCGAGTTTTTAATTTCAGATCAGAATTTTTAATATGCGTGATAAGACACCATGTATGTTGCATAATACTGAAAAAATTTTCGCAGACTGAAGTGGCTGTCTAAGCATTTTTGAATAAATTTTTTTTGGGATATTTGGTGGAAGGCTTACGTTCGAATCTAACAGTAACATTTTGGTTTTAAAGCTCGTCCACTCCTCTTTGCTGGATCCCAAAATTAACAAGTAGGCCCGAGTCCTTGAGAAGAGGAAACCGCGCTCCAACTGAACGACTTATGCGATTGGCGCTATCAAGTGGGAAATTATGTAATTCGAAAGCGGCAGAGGCGAAATCGTTTCTTACTTAGGCGTCCATTTGCCACCCTCGTGCTGGCTGTTCAGGAGCCCATCCTACAAACACTTTATCCCTTACGTGATTGTTTTCATGAAAGATTCCAGTGAGAAGTTCACAACACCGACCCTCATCATACCATCGATATTGGTAGCAAAAATTTCCAGTGGTGTCCAAATTTTTCAGCAATCCTTTTATTCTAACCGACAGAAACACGGTCAAGTTAAGCAAGTGGAAAAGTCTCCATTTCATCTTATTTCTATTTAATCCACTTAATTTTTACTATAGTACAACAGAAAAAGCATACAACAAACCAGAATGTTTTACACTGTAAGCGAGGAATATCTAAATGACTATAAAAGGAACAGTAATACGCCATCAGATACCCAATATAAAAAGTGCAAGAGAGTCAAGATCTCTCATCGAAGGACAGGTGGATTGCGTATGTGCATCTCAGTAACATGCAAGTGAAGCACAAGATTTAAGTTTTCCTCAGTGTCGGTTTAACCACCTCTAATCACTACACAATGTTTATTTAATCGGTTACACAAGAGTAGCAACTCTTCAGTACAATAGTACATGCCAATCGTATTTTTTATGCGTAGACCTCTTGACTGTGTGAACATAAGCCTAATTCTAAGCCTGCACGTCGCAGCACTATTGCGAAATCAATCAAGGTCAACATTTTTTGTGAAATTTAGATGAAGGCTATCATATTTGTCTTCTAGAATAAATCATTATAAATCAGCACGTTCGCCTTTTCAATTCTAGGAAAAGATTTTCGTGACCACTCGTGAGAAGCTGTGATAAATATAAGCTGTGATACTACTCAAGCACTCTTCATTTTGTAAAATTGTCAAGAAAAAAAGAATATAGGGTTTTCATACCTATATTTCTACAGTTACAGTTCTTAAACGGGGATTCTTTTTTTCCAGCAGAGCATATTGCAGTAGGTATATTTTCGACTTCTTGTCAAAGTTCTTGCCAATCGTCTTGTACACGAACATTAACAGTCAATAAGCGGAATATTTATTATGAGTAATGAGCAATCTTCAGATAGGCATAACAAAGCAACCGAGGCGAACATGAACGACCCTTAGATGTACCACTTCGACTTCAAGCTCAACACATCCTGACAGAGTGCGCTTTTCCTTCGATAAGTCAAGCTAGAATCATTTGTTACTCTCTCTTAACCTTACGCATTAGTGTACTTGTTAGAAAAAACAATTTTTTGTATAAGCTTACATCAGTGAGAGCGACGCAAATTCCGGCGATATCCTCGGCAAACGGAACAGACATACAGATAGGAGGCGGATTGCGAACTGGAAGGAACAGATCTTTAGCAAAAATCAAGAGGCGAAACATTAACTTACGAGAAATTTCCTGAGTGTAGTAGTGGCCATCGATGCCGATAGATAAATCGAGACCGACGTTTTCGCGATTGTATGTGGCGTTCACGCAAACTGAAAATGTTTTGCAGCCTACACTTGAACCATTCGAAAATTAGTGAGCGTACTGCACACGAGAGCGGCATCCCACAAATTTTGTCCTCACGTTTTAGATTTGGAGTTTTCTCTTATTTTTCTTTGCTTTTTCATTGTGACTAGACGCAGACAAATGTAAATAACCACCACTATTTATTCCATCGTCTACAATCAGGGTGTCGTGGCTTGCCGTACGCAGTGCGCAAGCTCACATAAAAAGGATAAAAAATTCGCTTTGCAGGCATGCCCCGACAGATTACCCGGATACCATAGGCTCGGAGGGTAAAGAGATTGGTTGGCCCAGGGAGAGATTGAACATGGGTCTGGCGCCCCATATCACTACGCCACTCGTCCCCTTTCAGGCTCACATATTAGGTAAATTACAAATGACAAGTCATTTTTTCTCCGCTATAGCTCTGTCCCCCTGTCAACAGAAAGCCAATGTAAACCATTGATTAATTCACTCTCAAGAACCCAACCTAGCACCCGCTATGCGCGTTTTAACATCCTTTCCGCTTTCATTGCTGGAAATCTTCTTACGAACAGCACAGTCTGTAATAAATATCTTTGTCTTGAGTCGAGTGAACCGCATCTCTCGTTGGCCAAAATGGGTAGGTTTCGGTGAACAAAAATCACTCATCACATCTAACGTTTCTCTTTCCTATTGATGTAGTTTATCGTTAGAATGGGTTGACTAGCAACAAAACTTTATGATTTATTCCAAATAACGACAAGATTCCCCAAATAAAAAGAGTCGGTCGTTGCTCAAGTGGGAGAAATTGAAACTTACATTCATGATGAAAATCCGGAATTCTTATGAATGTACAGCAAGCGCAATTTCCTTTCACGCAACTGCACGAGTTCTCGTCGTCACCGATAAGGTTTACTGGAAAAGCATTCGCGGAGATCACAGGTGAGTGTTAAGTACCACGCAAAATCGATGGAAGAAGAATAAATGAAATCATAGAGCTTACGATATCTCAGGGGAAGCGTAGAAACGTCCAAGTTGATCTTCAGCTCGCCTGTGGATATCCTCAAACGACTAGGTTTTGGGCTGTTCAACGAAATTGCGAAGGAATCTGGAGCAAATGATTGTTTATTAGCCATACGATGAGAAGCGCAAGCCACTAACTCTGATCTATATTCTGATGGATGAGCTTGACCAGAGCAACTGTGCCGCTATTATTAGTATGAACTAGAGCAAAGCCCTGGAGGTGGTTGTGACGACGTTGAGCGATGCTGTTCACCTTATGGTGAAACTGCTTCAGACCACTGTGCAGTTCATAAATGGATACCGGCAGCGTCTTCCCGAGACTAGCATTCGGATAGATGTTGAATTTGAGAACGTTGACGTTGGCGGCATCAGCTATCCCAAAGAATGTCAGTAGTAGCAGTAAGCTGAACATAAGCTACCAGAACAATGACGGAATGGCGGTCAGTTGAACAGCTGTCCAGGTAAGTAGCGATCAATAAAGAAGGGGAGCAATGTGGACTTGCGATGAAAAATTGTTAAGTGAAAGCACTAGATCAAAAGAATATTTCATCCGGTCCACATAAGTAATTATCGCGTAATCTCGACGTGAATTATATTATGAAGAAATAGTACGTCCCATGAAATCCATACGATATGCAAAAAGTCACTCTTGTTACTTTTCGAGTGCTGTGGTACAATTCAGTAGAGCAAAGTACAAAGTTTCATTCCCGCGAAAAAGGTAGCTGCAAAAATAGATCAAAATGCGAAAAAGTTGCTTTTGTGATTTGAACTAAATTTGGGAGTTCTCGAAAACTAGCACTTGCCAAAGGCTGGAATTTCATTATTTTTAAAAAAATATACACTGTAGAATTAGATTTGACAATCCCAGATTTGCTTACGGAAAATGCTAAATCTCGTCTCGATTTCCAATCATAAAGAAAATACCGCAGTGCATATGAATTTCTGACAGTAGACTGAATGAGTTGAGGAATCTTGATTTCATGGAATAGGACTTTTCGTGTCACCGAAATTTTCAAAGATAATTTGGCTTCAACTGAACTTCACAAGGATCAAATGTACGAATGTTTGAAAACCCCTGTGAAACTTTGTTAGCTTTATCGAAGCCTAAGACCTATTTATGAAGTGAGACGTGAGTTTCTGCAAATCGGGCAGAATTTCTGTGACAACCTGATAGGTGAGATGGACATTTTCGAATTTTCACTCGGAACCTGTTAGCTAACAAAGTGACAAACATGGTACTGCCATGTTGTGCATCCGCATTTCTGGAACGTGATGCCATGATACTGATGGCATTACTCATTGCTACAATAAAACTTCTCTTTGTGTGGTTACGATGCTTTATCGCAAATGAAATTTTTCAGCTTACGGGAGGAAGTATTAAAAGGCTGCTGATGTACCCATAGGCATACATTTCTTTTTTTAAATTCTTTTTGACATCAAAAATTTTCCATAAACGGAAGCAAATGCGCGATATCTGCTAATGCAGCCTGCTCGAATGCATATATAAGATATCTTGTGCTTTTCTTGACTGTAGTATCCTAGAGTTACCATTTTGTGGTTATAAAGCATAGGAAGTTAGCAAGTTTACTCTCTGAGGTAAACGAAGTTCATGAGTCGCGGTGGAATGGAATCATCAATGGATCTGTACGCGATTGCTCAACTATACAAAGTTGTTAGCACGTACAATGTCTACTGTCCGATGAGTAGTCGCCGAATAAGTAAAGAAATTGTATACGTATGCTTATATATAACAACTGGAAGAACTGCGCAACTCCTTCACTTATGTTGCATACTATTGAAGCACTTCCGTTTCTAGCACGCTTACAGTATTGTTACTGTATTAGAACCACACAGGCAATTCGGCATGTTCCCTCCAGCTCAAGGATCGCCACACTCACTGACGATCCAATGATATAATGACGAGGGTCATCCTTTTTTTTGTTTCCCCGTGATAGAGGTATAGGTCTTCTTTTGCAAGATATACTTTACCACGTCAATTTCTTGGTGTTCTAAGAAGTCTTTGAGATCTTGTGCTGCTGATATTGCTCTAGGATTGGTCTCCTAAGCAATGAAAAATTATAAGAACACAAAACATGCACGCGTTTTGGTGTCGGTGCCAATTTGAGTAGATCTGATAGTAACTGCAGATCCATTTCAACAGCCGGTGCGTTTCTTGAGGGAAGCTCATGTTCTGTCCTGCCAGAGCATGATTGACCAATTCCACTTCCATTTTGCCAGTATACGCTCACCACGTCCATGCAGCTAATCACTGCAGGACGAGCGAATATCTACCACAAACCATGCATCGGAACAAGTTACATTGTGTACCAGTGGCCCGCGCAGGCGGATAGCGCCGGCCACATATCGTCCTCTACTCGCAGCAGAAGCAGATACTCGCAAAATCATGTTTTGAAGAAGACTAAGCAGACTTTGATTGCTGGAGCTAGGCAAGGATCCACTCTGCATTATGTTATCGTGTGTGAAAAATGTGAAAAAAGTATTCTATGTTCTACGCTCTTGCTCCATTCTCTTCTCTACTTGCGCAAATTAGCCTTGTGCGTTTGCTTCTAGCTGTGAAAGCAACGATCTTAGCAGTAGTCTTCCACTTAATTCTTCATTCCAGCAGTAATGGCTGAGGTGTTGACAAGAGTGATCGTATGTTTTTTCGTATCTGATGCAGTGATCGCATTTTGGTCACAAGGTTATGGAGGTTATGGACAGAAAGACGGTTTCAAAGTTGTCAAATCCTATCCAGTAGGAAGCAACCAATGATACAAACTATAACTTTTTACTGCGAAAGTAATAGTTTAGTCCTACGCCTGCGGGATTTGCCAACAATCGTGCCAGGCAAGCAGTACTGTAGGATACGCCGCCAACTGCATGCAAGTCTGCGCTCCCATTTGTAATGTGGCGAAGCCCGTGAGTTTTTTTGCCGAACATGTTTGATGGACTTTTTCACAGCATCAATTTACTTCCAGTGGCTTCGGTTCGTTTTATGATATGATCTAGGTGTCACAATGTACGATTTGCTATCAAGAGTGCTATGCTTCATGCACGTCGATGAACTGTGACTGTAAGCAGTCATGTGCTCCGGTGTGCAAAGCGGCAAAGGTAAGTGAAATTCAGAAAGCTGAAGCAAGTCTCCTTTGGTTGCAGGGAGAAATAAAGAAGCAAATTTTTTGACAACTTAGAAATGCAAGGGAACTGGGGTTGCCTTACATTAAATAAAAGTTCATGTAGAGCTCTTTCGAAAGACTTCTGACAGGAGAGGAGCTCGGGACCCTCACCGCACGAAAAATGCCTATGCTTTTGCGCTAGAAATAACTAACCTTCAAATGGCGGATATGTCTGTGCGGTTTTGAGACTGTACGTGCATGGGATCAAATGAATGTTGAGCGAAGGTTGCGATCATTGAAAACAAATGTGCCTCTTTCTTTCTCCGGAAAAAGCAAACAGATTGTAGAATGTCCCATGATTCAGTGAATTTTGCTTCATTTTTCACTAGAACATAATCATGGCATTGCTTGACGATAAAAAAATTCTCTTATAGGATTATCTTCTTTCAGTTTTCAAGCTTACTCTCTTTGAGTTCAGTGCAACTCCTGTCAGCAAGCATGCCAAGTTGGCTGTCAAGGCAGCTCGAGCTGTAATTGTCAGCAAGTGTGCGCCATGGTTTGTGTAGGAGTTGCTGTGCAGCAGCAGCAGAGTGCAGACTTTGTACCGATGATTCCCGTGAAGATGAAGCCGAGTGTAGGCTTTGTACAGGTGACACGCGCAGAAATAGACAACCAGCCATAGACGATTGTTTCAGATAAAACCGGAGTCAAAGTCGGGATGTAAGGACAGCTGTCTTGCGCAGTGCTCGGCATCGTGCACGGTCTCGGACAAGATGTGCTTGGGCTCGTGCCAGCCAACGTGTCTGGCCTGCTGCCAAGCCCCTAAGTGCACTGCAGCTTGCCAGCCAGGATGTTCGCTCAGTTGTATGCAGAGCCAACTTGCCGCGACTCAAGTAGTTTTCAACATGGGCCAGGGCAAAAAGTTTTCGTGCCAGCAGCCGTGCCAGATCCAGTGCGGTAACATTTGTAAATCGACGGCGGCTTGTGTTCAGCCATGCACAAATCAGTGCCAAGTGTTTTGTATGAGTGGTGGCGGGTACAGTAGCGGTTTTGGTGGCGGCTTCAGCAGCGGCTTCGCTGGCTTCGCTGGCAGCTTCAGTGGTGGCTACAGTGGCGGCTCCAAGGGTAAACAGGTATGAATATCAAAATAGGAATTCTATATAGTAGATTCTACATACAATAATTCTACATATAGAATTACCATATGTTCTACATATAGTAATTCTATATGTAGAACATGCAGTACAGTTTTTCTGTTCTCGCCAATCTTACTCTATTGATCTTAACATAACTAGCTAAAAAAGACAAAATCTGGAATATTCTCGCCTAGATGATTGTACAAGGCGGTGCATCCGCTTGTCTGAGCTCATGTAAAACCGGTTGCGTGGGCTCCTGCGCTTCGTCTACTGTAGTGGGCTGTCGAGCAAGTTGCGACCAGGCATGCTACAAATCTTGCCAGTTACCCGTACTATACTCTGTAAGTCTTGGATACTTTGCTCTATGAGTCTAGGATTCATGCACATCTTCATGTTTTCCGAGACTTTTCATCATTCCAGGTTCCGTGCTCCTACTCCGCTGGCGGATGTGCATGCTCCAGCGGTTTCTCACCCTGTGGCGGAGGTGCCTGTTGCAAATACTAAACCATAACAACTCTCACTCTCAAATTGAAGATGATTACTGTTTGCTGTGTACGTAACGCTTGCTGCTTCTCAGAGGGGCTCCTCTGTATGTCGTTGCTATAAATATTTTACTGGTGCAAAATGTTTGTATTTATCGCTGAACGAAGTTTTATTTTCTAGAACGAGCCTCTTCCAAAGTGCTCGGCACATCATAGTTACTTCGCTGGTACAAAAGTTCACTGTTTTTTTCTCCGTCATGAACCAGCTCGAATAGTTGTAGGTTGGCGCAAAGAAAAACTAGTATCTTTCTTTCTGCAAAATGCTGTTCTTGTGCAATCAAATTCAGCGATAAGCGTTTTTTTTTCAAAGGATTTCTTCACATGCTTCATTCGTCTGCAATGCCTTCTACTCCTTTATTCCTCACAACCAAAAAAAGTAAAACAACGACAAGAGGCAAAAAAAGAGCGGTGTCTCTGATTTTGTACCAGACTATCTTTGGAAAATGGAAAATCTTCGGCGAGAAAAAGGTGATTACAAAACGAATTATACTGCCTTTTTTTCAAAATTATTCATAAATCCGCGTAGGTAACAGTTATTCGGATCGCTACCATTGTAGTAGTGGAGCGTCACAAGAAGCGATTCTTTCTTGCTTTTTTGATCTATGTTGCTGAACTTCCAATGTTTTTGAAAACTCATCCCTATGTAAAAGTGCAGATGTTTGCTGATGACATAAAAATATATTTTTGCTAAAGAAATAATCAGCAAGATAAGCTTTTCAAGCTCTCTCGACCGCAATACGCCGAATTTCACTGTGGTCTAAAGGGTGGAATATTCTTACAAATATCTCAAGACGACTGTAATGCATCTTGGGCATTCTTCTGTGCGTGTCTACAACTAGAATGGTATCGATCTCGAAGCATCTGTTATTGTTGGAGATCTTGGTGTTCTAAATAACTCACTGAAATTTTCTGCTCATCTGGACTTCCTCATTAAAAAGTCTTCACTGCTCTTCAAGATTTTTAGAAGCATCCACAGTAAAGATACAGAACTTTTTGTAAATTTATGTAAAAGCTGTGTGTTGCCTCATCTGGAGTACGCATGGTATTTGGAGCCCTTTTTTGAAAAAAGACATTAAAAAGTTAGAGGAAATTCAAAAACCTTTACAAGAATTGTCTTCTATAGATGCTTCCCAGATAATGGCTATCCAGAGTCATTAACGTCATACTGTTTTAGACTAGAAACTTTGAAGCTTCAGAGCCTAAAATAGCCCAAAATAATGTAGTAAATGATCTAGTTTCATGCTTTATTCTGCGTTTGGAGACCAAGATGAGAGCAAGTAAGTACTGGAGTTTTATACGCCATAGCCAACGATCAGGTGGCTTTCATACTACTATCGTAGTTCGATAGCTTTCAATTCGTTCATCTGCCGCACCTCTCGATGGCTTGCCTTGCTTCCTTCAGAAATTAGTAGTAGCGAAAATTCTTGCAAATTTCGGAAAATATTAGAGAACGTCAACGTGTTGAGAGTGAGCAAAATTGATGATTTTTAGAACGCTCGATTACCACAGCTTTTTCTACTGCGGCTTATGGCTTGCACTTTTCGGATGTGATTTACCAAATGGTTTTTCTCGCTACCTCATCACTGTGCCATTTTTCCGAGTCTACTCCTTTAAACTATACATTTTTCCAGTGTTAGATTTAGCTGCAGTCAGTCAGTAAGGATTTTCTGCAACTGATTCTTATCTTCATTTTGATGTTACTAACAGTCTCAACAATTGCATTACTAATGATTGGTTCAGCTCATCCTATTTGACGGAGAAACACAGCATATCCGTCATATCTTACGTGTGCTTCAAAGCGTTGAAGCACTATTTTCCCATATGGATTCATTCTTATATGAATTCTTGCTCTCTCATTGCACACATACCAGTGAATCCTGCTGTTCCTTCAAAAATATTCTTCTGCTTCATAGGGGTTCCGTCAGCTAGTTTCCGCCCCGAAGCTCGCTGGCACTCAAATTTGGGTTCCCCTATTCATTTTTGTAGGTGGCAGGGTTTCTAGATTCATAGGCCAGATACTGACGCATTTCCATTTCTGACCAATACTTCCGTTTGCGTGCACTTATACCGATTGCTTATGTTTATCCATGGTCGCCTCCGGTGCCTGAACCCTCAGCTCTTCGTATCTGTCGCTAGCTGAAGCTGATGTTATGTTCGTTTGTTTTTTGTTTTTTCTCGATGCACCCTGAGTGTATAGTACAAATAAATAAATAAACAAATAAATCATAATAAACCCTCCCTCTCTCCCCTCTTACGAAGCCGAGAAGGCTTAGAAATCGAAACTCTATATAAGGGAAGGCAAGAGCTTAAAGTAATGTTATTTCGTGTGTTGTTGATCATTACTTAACATTTGGAAGTAAAATTACACTGCCAAAGCGCTTGCGGCGCTGAGAATTTGCATATGGATTCTTTGTGGAAAAAGCTATTGACTCTTATTTACAAAAACTGAATCAAATTCTGACTCCGGGGAGCATCGGGACCTTTTTTTCTTAAGGCAATAGTACGAGAAAACTCATAATAAGGTAATTTCGTTAGGGATAACGAAATGAAGGAACTGAATTTTTCTTCTTCTCTAGCATACAAAAGTCATTGCGGCGTGGGTGTTCTGAAAACCTACGTTTTGTCTATGATAAATTTCAGGTTAGCACTTATCAAGGAAAAGCTCTGCTTTGCATTGGAAGTGACCATAACTTTCATTTGTTCCACTTGTCAGTGATGAATAATGTGCTTTGGACCAAAATCTTGCGAATATACCAGCTCAGTGAATGCTACTTTTGCAGAGTTTCGAAAGGGTTCAATGTTGAGCTTACATTCTAGGATTCTCAATATTTTTTTCTAGCTGGCACCCACCAGTTATTAACTACTTGTACATAGCTCAGCTAGATCCGGATAGCTCTTTGAAACAATCACAAGACTGTATAGCACACTTTCACTGTCTTATGAATGTCTTCACAATTCTACTCCACAGTGTTTTGAACGTCTCGTTGGCTGTTACGAACTTCCCCTCTTTTTGGCTTCGGCGCATTTGCTGTTTGATCACTTTTCTACTCCTCGTAGAGTGAAACTGATTTTGATAGCTTGGCCATGACTTCAGTGACAGTCACGGATCAGAAGAATTTGACTAGCTTCAAAACACAACCAAAGCATCTGATGTCTCTGAACGCGGTCTCGTGTTCAACGAATGGGGAAGATTAGACGAGAGTGGATTAAATGCAAGAGGGAAACGATAGACTTCGCACTCTGCGGTGAAAATGGCGTGACATTGTTCTTATCGCTCTCTGCTGAGTGTACCGCCAAATAGTTGCTAAAATAACAATAAACAATAAAGATTCAGACTGTGTCAATCACATGAGGTGATTTCTATACTAATCGTTACAATACATCATCCAGCTCTTCAGGTCTGTGCTTTTAAATCTAGCACTTTACATAAATATGATTCGTTTTAAACTTTTTGAGACATCACAACCACTATTCCATGTATGATAAAGAGGTGAATAACCAACGTGAAGTTTTTATGTGGAATTATTTGAATCAGTTGCGCCCAGCACTTACTCATCTACTTTCCTGGTTCCATTATGTACAATACATTCATCCGTGTACTTCTCATGACGCCAAAGTCGCATCGTTGTCTCAGTGGCTTTAGGGGAAATCCTGAGATTTGCCCATGCAGGAATGTTTTGACGCGGATCTTGGGCCAGCTAAAAGATGTAAGCTGCAGCCCGAAGTTTGTCTTAATCCACCAAAAACAAGATATCCCTGGCCTAGAGGGTACTTAGAGGGGCTAAGACTCTCTGAAACCAGTTCGACACAATTGTGCACAACACCATCGCCCTTCTCGGTCACATTTGCTCAGCGATCGCGACCGCGATGCTGCTGTTATCTCTGTGCACCACACTCCCACAGCCTATCAGGGGTCTTGGCACACTTCTGCTGTCTACTCTCTACTGTTCTCATGCATAACCGTCTTGAAGTTCATGTCGTACAGTTCAGATCATCTGCATTAGTAGAAAAAATTGATTGAAGAAGTGGGCGTTTGAATGGTCACTCCACATGTGTTAATCATTTGTCGATATGGTCTACTTCTAAGTTTTGCTCCTATCGCAGCTTTCCTTGCACAAAATAGATCTACGTCATCGACCACATTTCACTGATATAGCAGCTTCTTCACTTTCTATGATTTGCAAACTAACTTTCACATGTACAATTTGAGAGCTATCTCTACACCTGATAGTTTATGTTGACAAGCAAATAATCGTTATAATTTAGGGTAATAATGTCCTTGAGTGTACAGGACGTGTATTCGGACCGGAGCATTTTGCTGACTGGATCGACGGGATTTTTGGGGAAGGTACCATTACAACATTTGCTGCTGTGTTGATACTCCAATCGAAATCATCTACTTCATTTTCCAATTTTTCGCACATTAAAGGCTTGTCGAATCTTACAAGCCTGCATCACATTTTTGCACACGGCATCCCAAGAAACTTTGAAATCCAGACATGGGACCAATTTTCTGACCTTTTTGTTTGTTTTAGGTTCTAGTCGAGAAAATTCTTTGGGCTGTACCTAATGTTCGCCAAGTCTTCCTTCTTATCCGCCCTGCGAAAGGACTGTCACCAAGGGAAAGGCTAGAAAAAGTTTTGAAGGTAGAGCAGCCTAGTATTTCGAATAAGCAATAACCGCATTGGTTTTACTAGGATCCTTTATTTGACCGGATTCGCGAAAATAAACCACAAGTGCTCAATAAACTTGTGCCTATATCTGGAGATATTATGGAGGATAATCTGGGCCTCAACCAACATGACATGCAAAGCATTTGTGATGAGGTCCATTTCTTACTCTTGCTAAGTTTTTCTTCTCGAGAACTCCGAATTTGTACTTTCAAAGGGAGAGCTTTTACTTCATTTCGTAAAACCAGTTCTCTTCTGTATTTACGATTTTGCTCAAGAGAAGATCCGATTCAATCAAGAATTTTAGGTTAGCATTGTTATCCACAGCGCTGCTACGGTAAAATTTGACGAGAAACTCAGGGATGCGGTTGAGATGAACATGGTAGGAACGATGCGACTTGTAGCACTATGCCACAAAACCAAGAATCTTGTGGTAAGTTGTATAAGCGGTTTGTAACTTCAGATTTCAAAGATTTTTATCTGTATTCGAAACTCTGGAGTTTTTTTGCTTCATGCTTGTGAATGTTTGATATTGCTGAGTTTTTGACGCATGAATATTCTTCGTAACCTGGATTCTATACTCTTATGCCTTCGTTTCAAGCACAACAAAGCTAGTCAGCGCTGATCCTTTGATCCAGAGCTATCGCAACATCTGAGTTGTTCTGAAATCGGATTAACAGGGAGGAAAAGATAACAAGTGCTAGGAAGTAAGAGATAAGAAGTGAGAATGTAACGTGATGACTTATATCGGGTCTAGTATTGAGTAATGTCGATTGTTCTTCAATTAAAGCCCAAGTAGGAGGTTGTCAAACGAACGTGGTCATAAAACCAGTGATCTATCACTTGTTGCCTTCCATGTCCGAACAAGGTTGGGGGTTTTGAAATTTCAACGTCATGCGAAAGTGGACCCCTCAAACATCTCATCGTGGAATAGGAGGCCATAACGTTTAACCAAACGCAAAATACAGTCGAGAAGTTGGGAGGTACAGTACGCATCCCGCCAAAACTGAAGTCGGAGGGTCCCCCGGCGACTCTGCGTCTCGCATGGAGCTGTACCACATGACTGAATTCAAATTGTAGGCTTTTGGAGGGTGGAGGAACGAACACCCCAATTAGGCACCGCCTCCGCGGGCTGCCGGTCCTTTCGTCCTACTGCACATCGTGCTAGGGCCAGTAGTCCGTGGAGGAGGTGCCTGGGTGTTCGTTGCAGAACCCAGAAGCGGGTGTTCGTTCCTCCACCCGCTTTTGGGTTCTGCTAAAACAACGCCTCATTATGGAGTTATGTCGAGTTACAGCGTGTAAATAAAGCGTTTTTGTTCTCATTAGGCTATTTTAAGGCTATTTAGATTCCAAGGTCACAATTGGCCTTATCGTGCGAAATGAGCGCGATATTCATAATCAGCTCGTCAGACAAGCCCTCTGCAAAAAGTTTGAGGCAGGCCTACCGTATGCCTGCGAAATTCCGGGAAAAGATCCCAAAAGTCAAAAAGATAATGATATTCGTAAGCCATGCCTTGTAACCCCTTTCAAAGTCCTCAGCAGACTTGAATTTTCACCCGCCCACAGTATAGCCTCCGTAACCTGAGAAAATGGGGCTAATATGACATTCAGGTTCAGCGTGCTAAACAGTCCCTACGGAAATTTTAGAAAAATTCGTGACCCTGACCCCTAACAGCACTTCTTCCGTGACTCCAGCTAACACTAGTTTGCGAAATGTGATATTCGTCATTAGCGTGCCAAATAACTTCGCTTAGACGAAGATTTGGCAAAATCCACAATCGTTTATTTTTGGATCGACCAGTGAGTAGCGTCAAAGCGGCTAGTGTCGGCTATCGGTTACAGGCGGCGACTACAATCGGCTAAGGCCTAAGGCATACCTCACGCGATTTTAGTCGCTGCGCGATCTGGCACTGCAACGACTCTTCATAATTGGTCGTAAACGTACTTTGCTTTGGTCAGACTTGGTGTATTTGCTAGGACTTACGGAATCCATGCACCCATGCGAGACCCACGCATGGTTAATCTATAGACACCTGGCAAATCGCAAAATCGCGTGGATGTGGCGATTTCGCGAAGTTGCGGGAGGTATGCCTTAGGCTTAACGGTGGCAAGCCGGGGCGATATGAAGGTTATCCTGATTTGAGGAGAAAAAATCACTTTTCAAGCTGTTGCTGGCTAGAGTTTTTAGCCGTAAATTTAGCGCAAAAAGCTTGAAGTATTGGGGATTTTACTGAGGAAAGAATGGGATGGAGAAAACGGAAGCCTGTCATTTCGGAATTCTCTGATGAACAACTTGCAGAACTCATTTTACCAAGAATAAGAAGCAGGTTTCCATAACAAAATCTATCACTGACCGATAAACTGCAAGGTAGAGACGAGTTGCAACTACTTTTTGTATCACAACCATACGCACAGCACCCAATCTACTTTTCCAACCTTACTTAGATGCTGATCCAATATCCACTATATTTGATAAATAAAACGCTTTTAACATTTAGGCACTTGTACATATTTCAACAGCATATGCGAATTGCGACAGAGCAGAAACTGAAGAAAAGGTGAATATTATTTTTGCAAGTGCGATAGCCAGTGACTTTATTTAGGTCTATACGCCACCCATAGCGCCGCAAAAATTACTTGAAGCCGTCCAGTGGATGGATAACGACATGATCACCATGGTGAGAATGATTATTTGATACTAGCTGGCTTACCCGGCTCCGCCGTATCCGGACCAAACTTGGCACACATACACTTCGGGCCCCGGCGGGTGTCACAGTCCACTTTTCGTTATCGATCGATGTCGATTTTACCGATTTTTATCGATTTTTTTTGCAAAGTTTGAGCTACGGGGCTGGGAGTTGGCACAGGGGGGTAATCGAGCATGGGGATTCCGAATACAATATTGGTTTTCAGGATTATCGATTACTTTTATCGATTTTATCGATTTTTTTGCAAAGTTTGAGCTACGGGGCTGGGAGTTGGCACAGGGGGGTAATCGAGCATGGGGATTCCGAATACAATATTGGTTTTCAGGATTATCGATTACTTTTATCGATTTTATCGATTTTTTTGCAAAGTTTGAGCTGCGGGGCTGGGAGTTTGCACAGGGGGATAATCGAGCATGCAGATTACGAACACAATATTAGTTTTCAGGATCGTCCATTACTTTTTCGATTTTATCGATTTTTTGAAAATTTGAGCTAGGGGGCTGGAATTTGGCACAGGAGTGTAATCGAGCATGCTGATCACCCCCCTTGGGGGTGATCAGCATGCTCGATTGCCCCCCTGTGCCAACTCCCAGCCCCCTAGCTCAAACTTTGCAAAAAAATCGATAAAATCGATAATAGTAATCGATAATCCCGAAAACCAATATTGTATTCGGAATCCCCATGCTCGATTACCCCCCTGTGCGAACTCCCAGCCCCGTAGCTCAAACTTTGCAAAAAAATCGATAAAATCGATAAAAGTAATCGATAATCCTGAAAACCAATATTGTATTCGGAATCCCCATGCTCGATTACCCCCCTGTGCCAACTCCCAGCCCCGTAGCTCAAACTTTGCAAAAAAATCGATAAAATCGATAAAAGTAATCGATAATCCTGAAAACCAATATTGTATTCGGAATCCCCATGCTCGATTACCCCCCTGTGCCAACTCCCAGCCCCGTAGCTCAAACTTTGCAAAAAAAAATCGATAAAATCGATAATAGTAATCGATAATCCTGAAAACCAATATTGTATTCGGAATCCCCATGCTCGATTACCCCCCTGTGCCAACTCCCAGCCCCGTAGGTGAACTCAGCAAAAAAATCGATAAAAATCGATAAAATCGATATCGATCGATGACGAAAAGTAGCCTATGACACCCGCCGGGGCCCGTAGTGTATGTGTGCCAAGTTTGGTCCGGATCGGTTCAGAAATGGAATTTTCTATTCGGAACATACGTACATACAGACAGACAGACATACAGACAGACAAACAGACATTCAGCTTTATATATAAGATGCAAAGGGGAGCTTAAAGGCAGCGTCCAGGCAAATCTGGACCTATGGGGGCTCTCACGTGGAAAGTGATCTTGAGGCCCTAAATAAGCTCTATCCAAGCGGCAGCTCAGATAGTGCACTCACGGCTAAGATACTGGGCTCCAAACTATGCCCCGTGACCGTATTCGCATAGATTCATGGCTCGGCGCATCAGTTTCGCGTGGATTCTCGTGCCACGAATCCATGCGATTACGGTCACGGGGCATAGTTGGGAGCCCAATATCTTAGCCGTGAGTGCACTATTTGAGCTGCCCCTTGGGCAGAGTCTTGTCTAGGGCCTCAAGACTACTTTTCACGCGAGAGCCCCATAGGTCCAGATTTGCCTGGACGCTGCCTTTAAGGAGAATAAAGAACTAAGAGATTGCGATGCCAATGTTACATCATAGTTTATTCGCAGATAACTCCCAAATTGTTGGGGAAACGACCAAACACCTATACTCTCACGAAGGCCCTTGCTGAGGTGAGGGTTCCTACTATGTTGAAATAAATTGATTGAGTTACGCATGTAATTTACTTAGAGTCAACTGGTCGAGGATGCTAAGCAACTCCCAGTGATTATCATCCGACCATCCATTGTTGGAGCGATTTGGAGGGATCCCCTACCAGGTTGGACCGATAACATCAATGGCCCCTCTGGCATATTTGCAGCGGTGAGTGGTACAAAACGAGTGATATTCCTTTTGCTTGCCTCGCTGTGTTTAGACCCATTAGTGGATAATCGGATTGGACTCAAATGTTATGTTTTTGACGATTTTCACATTTTTTTCTTTTTTAGGTAGGCAAAGGAGTTTTGACAGACATGTGTGGCAGCGCACAGTCAAAGGCAGACATCATCCCCGTTGATGTTGTAGCTAACATGATCATCGTTGCAGCCGCTCACAGAGCCACAACAGCGTAAGCAATGTTTACAAGTTGAATAAACAACGACCTTTTTTCCCGAACTTCCAATCCCACCACATACGATCATTTTGAGTTAGAGATGAACTAAAACACTATTAGGCCGCACCACAAGTACGTGTAGTTTTCATAAAGCAACAAAATGACAGCATTTGAGATAGTCTGGTCCCAGAAAAGACATTTAACCAGCTACTAAAATCTTCTTCAAAACTGGCAGGAGACACCGTTTATGTGGTTTGTGAGGGAAAACATGATGACCTGGTAAAGCGAGATTTGAGGGGGTGCATTCGTTACTGCCCGTCCAAGCCTTGCGCGACATTTTAATCGTGGTTCTGAGCCTTGACCCAAGATTGTTAACACTTTATTGGCTGACGTTTCGGCAAGTCGCCTTCTTCAGAGCCTGGAATGAACAGTACGACTTGCAAACTATTCGATCAAACGTCTCTGCAGCCATGCAAACAAAACTCTAAGGCTTCGATAGATTAGTAACTAGCTGCCTAACCAAGCACTCACCTTTTGAAAACGCCGATAGAGTTCTAATGCCAGAGCGAGCGTAGAATGACTGAATGCATATGCCACGGCTATTTATAACGTCTCCGCCGGGTCAGAAGATTTGACCCAAGTAGGGAGCGAGCTCAAGTGTGATGGCTAGGCATTCTTCCTTGCAATTCATTTAAGGGCTTTTGGCGTGAACAAAATGCCTCTCAACATTTGCGAGCCGATGTTGAACAGTGACACACTTGCGCGACAGTTCTGACAACGTTTGCTGTATGAGGCATGTTTTGTTATGTAAAGAAACACACTAGAGCCGTTCATTAACCCTTATTTGCATTAGGGATTCATTTGGACGGTGCAGTTAGGTGAGTATGGTACAATCAACTTTTCTTATTGTCCGGCAATTCCAGTCTAGGACGTCCTGCCTTTCGAGAAGTCTTGTTTAGGGGAACCCTGCTCAACCTTTGTAGTTTGTATCAGACCAATCCTTTTTTCTCTTACATTGACGTGTAAAAGATCTCCATGATCGGCAAAAAACCTATGCAAAAGCGCTCACTAGAAAAGATGGGCAGGTGCAGAAAATGCTTCTTTTTGCCTTTAGAGAATTCATCCTTGAAAGCTAGAAAATCGAAGAATCTTCATCAAAATTGGTTAGCTTCACTTTGAAAAGCATGATCAGCTCTTCCCCATCTTGCCATGAATTAACCGATTCTCAAGAATTAGGGACGAGAATGAAAACTTACGAACAGAATTTGTAATCCCTCTATTTCGTTCATTATTGTCATGTTTCAGCTACGACACTGTTCCTGTGATGCACTGTGCATCTGGAGACTTGAATCCCTTGAAGTGGGGAAAGGTCGTCAATTTCCTAGAACAATTTTATAATAAGGTTATTGGTGTTCGTTCCGAAAGTGTCCATCTTTGCCTATGATTTATACTTTCAGTATCCTATGCAAGAATGCCTTGCTATCCCATCCACTACATTCCATACGAGTCGGAAGACGTTCGAGTTCAATTACTACGTGAAGCACCATATACCTGCAAAGACCATAGATTTTATTAGCGGCTTAATTGGAAGAAAGTCAAAGTGAGCAATTCAAGATTTTCGGACTGATTTTGGCTAGCTAATTCAACCCAACTCATCCAGCAACGTTCGACTCTACGCAAGGGTATGGAGAATGGTTGAGGCACTGCACTATTTTACGACACGTGGCTGGTCGTTTCAGTCAAAAAACTTGCCAATGCTCTGGGATACGCTGAGCTATGATGACCAGCAGGTACGGTAGCAAGCCTTCGCATCAAAGCATTCATGTGAGACTTGATTTAGCTATTCAATTTTGATATTCGACAACTGGACTGGGACTCGTATTTGTTTGATTACACTATGGGAGTGAAGAGATATGTTCTCAAAGACGATTTAAACAAGATAGAGGAGGCTAGAGCAAAGTTATTACGGTAATTACCATGCAGATATCCCTCTTCCTTCTCACCGTGAATCTCCATCATTCAGAATGCGTTTGATGCGAACGCTTCTGACGGCTGGCTTCTGGTACGCAGTCGTTCAGTACTTTGGTTCCAGTCAAAAAAAGCACAGAAAATGGACAGCATGGTTAATATCATTCGCAACATCACATTTCCTAATGAATTACAACTTCCGTCCGAAGATTCCGATGAAATCACTTGAGGAGTACAAAAGAACAACATATTGTAAATGAGATGTTGCTGCCCCGTGGAAAACCGATAATAATTCCGCAGCAGTGCTGATAAATAATTTGTTTTATTTTCATTATACCATGGATTCTATGCTTTAACCTCAGATCCTTTCATTGTCATTTCGCTGCTTAGTTACTGATAATGTTCTTGGAATTTGTGCTTACTCTTTACTCGCTCTCATCTTTTTTGCGTGTGGAAGCCGTCCAGTTGTATCATAATTACTTTATGTACATTTCAGTAACAGACTTCAATTTGGAGACTACTAGTATATTCCTATGACATTTTATAATGAAGCGACAGCAGATTTAGCTCTAGAAAAAGTGTTCTTTTATTCCGTTAGGCTCTGGGCATAGCCCACGCGATTTCGTCGCGAAGCGATTTGCCAAGCTGGACAAGTGTTCCACACCGCGCTATTGAGTGTGTAGGTCCCAAACGCATTTGTGGTGGCTATTCGGCGCAACGAACCGTCATACACTTTTCAACGTGCGTAGCCCACTTGGCGAAATCATCGCGCGATTTCGCCGGATCGGCGCGATGTCACGTTGTCCATTTGCGGCGAGCGAAAGGGCGATCCGGAACTGCATTTCTGAGTTTTCTCATTTACTTTATTGTTACTAACGAGTTATGACTGTATTCTTCTTTTAGATCATTTGTAAAGAGCAAGAGATTCACTCAAGCTTTTGAGTTTGTGAATCATCGAATCACAAGTATACACGATTCATGACACGCAAAGACTGAGCGCCGTTGCGTCCAGCCGAGGTAGGTAGTGCATGGGAGAGACAGCTGATAGTAAGAGAAATGAAAGAGCACTTGATCGCAGAGATGCTGATACTTTCGCAGTCTTTGCGATCTTGCTACGAACCGCTTATAACGTGATACGTTTTATTCTACAGCGGCTCTCATTAGTGATTTGTTTTGAAAATAGTTTTTGCTGGCTTTCAAAATCTGTAGTCATTGCCACTTGCGGGAAGAATTAAGCCTTCTCATTTTCTTCCAAGCTAGTCAAACGATTAGATATGATCAAGTGTGCATTGTACACATCGTTTCTCATCCTTCTGGATTAGCAATCACAAAAACGCGAGAAACTAACCGATCGTCATCACTTACATCGCCATGAGATGATAGTACCTAAAAAGGAGAAGATGACTACATGATCATATGAAATGATTCGACTGTAATGTTAAGCAATGTTCGATTACAAGGTCATTCCGTAAGCCTTCAGCTGTATGATTTACAAAACAAGCTTTTGCTTTTTACTCTCAAGAAGCTTGATTTTGCGCATCAAAACCCACACAATACCGAATCACTGTCTTCGAGTAGCCCTTTTGTTGGAACTTGAAAGAAACGAAAAAGGAAAACTTAATAAATTCCGGAACTCATTACCAGGCTCACTTATAGACTTCGTCATTGTTCACGTTCTTCGATACAGTAACACATCTGAGAAAACTGTGTCACATGATATAATAACTCTTTAAGTATTACCAACTGGATATGCAAATTAGGACGGTAGGTCGTTAGTTGGTTGATTCTCCGCATCATAGGTAGGCGCCAAGCTTAGCAGGTTAGGTACCCTTTGATTTAACGGGATGGCGACTAGAAGACGACTGCTCGCACCCGCGTCACAAACTGCGTCTCTTTCGCGATCGTGCTCTCTGATCATTCCCTAGCCTTGATTAGGCCTCGAAACCTCCTTTCCAGCCGACAATCCCGTATAATCAAAAAATAGGCGCCAGACTTATCCGGTTCAATCGGTTCGTCCGGTTCATTCCATTCGCTTTTGGTCAAATCACTGAATTGACCAATAGCAAATGGGATGAACCGGACGAACCTGCCGGATAAGTCTGGCACTTGTCATATGTGCAAGAGAATTATTGGCTGGACGATATGTTAAACGTGCGAAGAGTAGTGCAGTTTGCCCGACATCGCGCCTGTAAGGACACGACGAGCGAGGCGCGACTCGGTAGTCGCTTGCAGTTGCCTCTTCGGGCCATAGTTGCGATAGGGGGAGTGATGGATCTTACCCCCTTCACTTTAAGGCCAAACTCCGGATGACCCCCTTCACCTGGACTGAGATTGGTATTGTGATCTGAGAATATAAAATAAAAATCGTTATTAAAAGGTTTTGCAGGCTAAATACCTCAAACAACAAGTAATATGTGCTCCAAGACGAAGGCGATCGCCCAAATAGTTTGAAAGCATGCAAGGCGCGGCGCGCGGGTAATTGTCGACCACAGGGCGCGCGCACGCGCAATCAGCGGTCATCCACGCGGGCGTACGCGCGACCCGTGGTTGACAATTTCCCGCGCGCCACGTGCGCGTCAGCCTTGCATGCTCTCAACCCAGGGGCGACCGCTTTCGTCATGGAGGGATATTACACTCATAAATCTACAAAAGAAGCGTCATCTATTTATCAAAGTATCTACAGAAGCACAAACTCTTTTCGAGCACTCATAAGGTTCCTTAAGCGTTACAGTTCCATGAAGATTAATCAATCTTGTTTTAGTAATATAATCAACACTTCTTTGTTTCAAAGCTACAATTCTTTTGGGTGTATTGCGACGGTAAGTGAGAACACAAAACAGGTGATTTTTGAAGTACATAATATCCCTCATATCTCGCGACACAGAAGACCTAGAAAAAAGTCGATGGTCTGCGTCGATTCTTCATGATCTCAGCTTTCGAATGGTATACAGCATGTTAGGGCTTCTTTGCTTCCCGGCTAAAAAGCACTTGCTCCGATGACCGATAAAAGCCCACACATTGTAAGAGCGAGGTGGAGCAAGAGCTAATAGTAGAAAATGTGCTGTAGATTGATATAGTTGTCAGCACTAACGGGAAGCGAGCGAACGCGTCAATTCAAGCGCGCTTATCGTTGTTATATGTTTATTTTTTTAGTAAAAAATGCGCTTTTGATTGACAGTTGTGCCATCATTATCAGCACATACTCAAAAAACTATGGGAGACTGGTGAATTTCCACATCTTCACACAAAAACCCACCCATTTCTGGAATCTATACTCTGTAAACCTAGTGCTGAAGAAGGTCACTTTCGTGAAAACGCTCTAGACTCACCTAAATGTAGAGAATGGTTGGTTTCAATGAATCAAAAACTTTAAGGCATTCAGTGGCCGTATTCATCAACGAACCCTGAGGGTTAAGCTTACCCTCCAGGGTTAGTTTAACCCTCAGGGTTCATTGGCCGTATTCATCAACCATAGGCTAGGGTTTACCACGGAACGCGATCTACCCGTATCGATCAACGAACCTGTGGCCGTATTCATCAACCCTGAGGGTTAAACTAACCCTGGAGGGTTAAGGCGTCAGTTACGCGTGCGTGCAAACTCACATCACAGAATGCCTAAGTACGGATAAATTCACTTTATACTTCTATTCTTTCACTGTTGTAGTAGTATAGTCAACGAATAAGCTTTTAACACTAGTTTTTATAATACACCTCTAGCATACTTGTGCAGCATCCATCTTACAGCGTGAGTTTATTTTCATGTGTGCAATTGTGCAGTTTGAGTTCTACTTTTGCGCAGTTCGTTTTATACCGGGCTTGTGCTACTCTTTTAGGGTCAATGCGTGTTATTATAAAGGGGTTTTTCTTTTGGCACTTGTCAGAGTGGAATGCCATTTTTTCTCGTCGCATTCATTTGTCACCAAAGCTAGAATTCTTTTTCTCGCGTCAGTGTTTCATGTACTCCGAATATGAACATAAAACGAAGTCGAAACTAAATACTATAACAACAACCAATACTAAATACTACAATACTCGTTGATCGTTTTCCATAAACTATTAGATGCGAGTAAATGTTTGTATGAAGTGTTAGGGTAGAGTTAACCTTGCTCTGAGCTAGGGTTAAATTAACCCTGATGAATCACGTAAGTTTAACCCTCGAGGGTCAGTTTAACCCTCACGGTTCGTTGATGAATACGGGTTAGTCGCTTTCGGGGTAAAATTAACCCTCAAGGTTAGATTTAACTCTCAGGGTTAAGCCTACCCTGTGTTTCATGAATACGGGTTAAACGCTTTCCAGGGTTAAACTAACCCTCCAGGGTTAGTTTAACCCTTGGGGTTCGTTGATGAATACGGCCACAGGATTAATCTAACCCTAGCATAGAGCAAGGTTCACTCTACCCTAACACATCATACAAACATTTACTCGCATCTAATAGTTTTATTGAAAACGATCAACGAGTATTGTGGTATTTAGTATTAGTTGTTGTTATAGTATTTAGTTTCAACTTCGTTTTATGTTCAAATTCGAAATACATGAAACGCTGACTTCGCGAGAAAAAGAATTCTAGCTTTGGTGACAAATGAATGCGACGAGGAAAAATGGTTGCGCATTCCACTCTGACAAGTGCCAAAACTGAAAAACCCCTTTATGATAACACGCACTGACCCCTAAAAGAGTAGCACAAGCCCGGTATAAAACGAATTGCGCAAAAGTAGAACTTACACGGCGCAATTGTGCACACATGAAAATAAACTCAAGTTGTAAGATTGGATGCTGCACAGATACGCTAGAGATGTATTATAGAAACTAGTGTGAAGCTTATTCGTTGATCATACTACTATAACAGTGAAAGAATAGAAGTATAAAGCGGCACCTAGCACGTACTTAGGCATTCTGTGATGTGAGTTTGCACAGCGCACGCGTAACTGACGCCTTAACCCTTCAGGGTTAGTTTAACCCTCAAGGTTCGTTGATAAATACGGCCACAGGTTCGCTGATCGACACAGGTGGATTGCGTTCCGTGGTAAACCCTACCCTATGGTTGATGAATACGGCCAATGAACCCTGAGGGTTGAACTAACCCTGGAGGGTAAGTTTAACCCTCAGGGTTCGTTGATGAATACGGCCACAGAAGAACAACATGTTATTAAATATCCTTCAATGTTTCGGAAAGGTTGGCAGTTTGAAGAAGAAACGGCAGGCAGAATATTTTACAAAATCGCAGATGTCTCGCATGTGTTCCAGTTCAGTAAGGCAGAAGGAGAATCTTACGCCAATGAAAATGGTGTCGACATTGATACAGAGTTGACAATTGAGCGAAACTATCTATTTTGTGCATCAGAAATCCAAGCAGATTGCCTAGTTTCAATGAGGAAATGTCCAAGAAGTCCATTGCTGATCTTCAGCTTGCTGAAGATTTCAAGGCTGCTAAATTCCCGAACATGGATATGAACAAAAGGAATGTGTTAGTACAAAGCATAGCTACTGCTCTTAGATCCCGACTGGAGTACGAACCCAACTCTGTGCTTTATGCTTCTGGAAGTTTTTCGCATTGT